TGGGCCAACTTAATTTCAATGACCCCAGTCAGAGTTGTTCATGTAGAAAAGGATGAATTGGAGTATATTCTGGTGTGTGTGGTCTCAACAACAACAAAAATAAAGTAAATGTTCAGAACTGAAAAAAATAAAGTTACATTGAATAATTTTAAAAAATGAATTCACTATGATGGAAAACATTCCATTCTTAAAATAAATAAATAAATAAATATAAGGTTCTCTTCTTCCTATTCTTAGTAGTTCTGAACCATTAGTTTTTGTTTTTTTCCTTAGGGTCAAAGGTACCCTTGACAAATTCAATCTTCTCCCATTTATTGTGATAATCCATTGGTACAACTGTGAGGATTTTGCTCTTCGTTACATTGAGTTGTAAGCCATATTGAAGGCTGCAAGCCTTGCTCTTCATCAGCAAGGGTTTCAAGTCCTGCTCACTTTTAGCAAGCACGGTTGTTTCCTCTGCATATCATAGGTTGTTGCTAACCCTTCCTCAAATCTTGATGCCACATTATTCTTTATATAAGCCCATTTCTCTGAATATTTGCTCAGCATCCAGATCGAATAAGTATAATGATAGGATACAACTCTGCCCTTCACCTTTCCTGATTTTAAACCATGCAGTATTCCCTTGTTCTGTTTGCACATCTGCCTCTTGATCCATGTACATATTCTGAGCACAATGAAGAGTTGTGGAATTTCCATTCTTCTCACGGTAATCCATAGTTTGTCTTGATCCACACAGTTGAATGCCTTTGCATATTTAATGAAACACAAGTAAACTTCTTTCTGGTATTCTCTGCTTTGAGCCAAAATCTGTCTGAGAAAAGCAATGACATCCTTTTCCACTCCTCTTCGGAATCCAGCCTGAACCTCTAGCCATTCTCTGTCAATGTACTGCTACAAACCTTTTGGATGATCTTCAGCCAAATTTTACTTGCATGTGATATTAATGATATTGTTCTATAATTTGAGCGTTTTGTTGGGTCACTTTACTTTGGAATGAGTACAAGTATAGATCTCTTCCAGTCAGTTAGCAAAGTAGATGTCTTCACAATTTCCAGGCATAGAAGACTGAGTGCTTCATCAGCTTGTTCAAACATTTCATTTGCTATTCTATCAATTCCTGGAGCCTTGTTTTTAGCTAATGCTTTCCGTGCAGCTTGAACTCCTTCCTTCAGCACCATCGGTTCTGGCTCATGTGCTACTTTCTGAAATGGTGGAATGTTGACTAGTTCTCTTTGGTACAGTGACTCTGTGTATTCTTTCCATCTTCTTCTGATTCTTCCTGCATCATTCAATGTTTTGCCCATAGAAATTTTCAATATTGCAACTTGATGTCGGAATTTTTTCTTGAGTTCTTTCAGTTTAAGGTATGGTGAGTGTGTTCTTCCATTTTGTTTTTCTAATTCTAGGCCTTTGCCCATTTCATTATAATATTTGGCTTTGTCTTCTCAAGCTGCCCTTTGGAATTTTCTATTCAGCTCTTTGACTTCATTATTTCTTCATTCACCTTAGCTACTCTATCATTAAGAGCAAGTTTCAGTGTCTCTTCTGATATCCACTTTGATCTTTTCTTTCTTTCCTTTATTTTTAATGATCTTTTGCTTTCTTCATGAATGGTGGTCTTGATGTCCTCCCACAGCCCATCAGGTCTTCTGCCAGGTCTTGTGTCCCTGTGTTAAATCTTTTCTTTAGAGGTTCTCAAAAGGAAGGTGAGATAGACTCAAGGTCTATTTTGGCTTTCATGGATTTATTTTAATTTTCTCTAGCTTTATCCTGAACTTACATACGAGCATGGTCTCTTCCACAGTCAGCCTGTGGCCTAGTTTTAGGTGCTGATATTGAGTGTCTCCATCATCTCTTCCCACGGGTGTAGTCCATTTGATTTCTCTGTATTCTACCTGGAGAAGTTCATGTGTATAGCTGCCTTTGGGATTCTTAGACTGTAACTCAATGGGAGCAGAAAATCTCCTCTTTCTCATGGAGCAGCTGGTGATTTCAAACCGCTGAACTTGTGGTTAGCGGTCCAACTCATAAACACTCTGCCACCCGGGAGAGAATAAGCTTTCTATTTAGGTAAATCGATTTCCCTCTTAAATTGACCCTTTTGTCACAAATTTAGGTTCAATTATAATAGTAATGAAGAGGCACCATTAATGACAGATGAAAACATTAACAAAAAATATTTTATGTATATGTTAAGAAAATAACTTGTCAGGTTTTATTTTGCTAAGGAATTATTCTATGGTGCAAAGATGATTGACTACATTGTCTTTAATATCATCAATACAAATTGAGATTTTATAGATGTTGAATTTATTTCTCTTCAATAAAACAATATTACTGCTGAATGATCATCAGTTTCAATTTTAAAACCATCATTTATTTTCAGTCAGATAATCATTAATTTTTATAAAGATATGAATAGTGTCTCAAAATCATTTGAAAGAATTGAAAGTGTAAAAGGTTTTAGAGCTGAGTCTAAAAGAATAAATCGCTTTCCCATAGACATGAAACCATTATAAGAGCACTTTAGGATGAGAGAAAGAGTGGGGAAAGGCACAGAAGTAGGAAAGTGCATAACATAATGACGAAATAGCAAATAATCCTGTATGGTTTGGATGCCAGCCACATGGAGGCATATAAAAGGAAAAATGGAAAGGCACGAAAGAGTGCAGAGATGCTTTAAGAATCTCATTATAGTTTATAGATAAGCTCCCAGTGGGGGATTCTCTTTTAAAATGGAGGGTAAGGTAAAGGGCCAGTTGCTGCTAATAGTCCAGTTGAGCTGTAAGAAAATGAGGAATCCACACACTGATTTTCATTCACAGGCAGCAACATTTTAAAATATGTAACAACTGGATTAGCCTTCATAATACATAAAACAAAAGTGAAACAAAAAAAAAAACACCCTCATTTAGTAATTTACACTTACAGGACAGAGAAGAATTGCTCCCCCATGGGTTTCTGACTTTGAGTCTTTACAGGAGTAGGAAGCCCCATCTTTCTCTGGTACAGTGGCTAGTGACTCCAAACTGCTGACATTGTCATTAGCAGCCCAACTCGTTCCTCACTATACCATTTGGGTGATATGATATAGGCTTGCCCAAATTATTTTCTTAAGAAGGAAAACAAGAAGATAAGGCCAGCAATAAAATATCGATTGCAAGCACACCGTAAGGACAAGTTAAAGGATGATCCTGATTCTCACAAGCTCCACCCCAAGAAGATAACATCAAATTTTGCTTGCACCAAACACATACACACATACACCCCCATTCACCCTCCTCTTTTGATAATGTAGGAAAATTTCATAGCCATGAATTTATCACGTCTTCTCTATAGGGCATTTGAGACACAGTATGCTTTCAAAGGGTCTGGACAGGTTGTGAAGATGCACAGTGCCGAGAGTAGTGCACACAACTGGAATTCCCAGATAGAGGAGTGCTGTGAACTAAAAATAAATTATAAAGAATTTCATAACCATCTACATTATAGTTGTACATTTCAAAAATGTAACGCACAACAAATATAAAATATAGGTCCAGACATAACCTTAATAGAAATTAAACCAGGGTTACATGATATAATGTTGAGATTTTCAGTTTAGGCCTTTTTTCAAATACATAGAGGGAATTGCCGAATTTAAATAAAAAGAACAGCAATGTACACTAATCCTTATATCTATATTTTCTAATTTGGGGCAATGAAGGGATGAGGAAAACAACAGCAAAGTATCAGGGATAAAGAAAGGCAGAAATGTCCCCTAGATCACAATCTATACTCTGCCATTCCGAATCAAAACCCCCATCAAGAACCTAGCTTTTGAGAAGTGTAAACAAGAGGAGCTAAGGTGGACAATATGGTGTCAAAGCTCTAACTCTGCATATAATAAATTAATGGAGTTAGGGGAATTAATTTCTTTCTAATTACAGTTTTCTAAAGTAATTTGATATCATGTGATTGTGGTGGAACTGAGATTTAACAAAACAAACAAACAAACAAACAAACAAACAAAAAAGCCCAGCATAAAAGGGGACTGTCATCAAGTAAAGGTGCACATCACCAAGGCCAACTCATTGGTTGAGAGTAAGCAGTTCCAAAAATGGGTCAAGTGAGACTATCTTTGAAATAACTTCTATATGTGGTACCCAGAAAGACACTCCTTTGAGGCCTATGACTGCAGGGGAGCAGAAGCCTTAGATGAAGCAACAAATGTGCTACACCTGGTGAGGAGGGGCTATTATTGGAGGTGTAGTGGGGTGGATTGCTGAATGGAGGTGAGAATTAGGAATCTTTCTGGAGTTAGGAAACCTCAAGTTATCCAGATGAGTCATCATATGAGAAGTGAAAGTCCTTGTACAAGTTCTGGGACCGATATTGGGATGAAAACATTCGTGTTCTTTTCCCTTATGCTGTATTCCCCTTTTCTAGAGCTACTCGGACTATGTGGCTCAGTCCTCACCTTTCCGTCAACTGTTAGCATGGTCCTGTCTTTTTGTATATAATGTGATTCTATTACTTGAACATGTCAAAACTGTCAATATGGAGCCTTGCTGTACAAACTGTACAGACGCAGGCAGGGCTATTCATCCCCTTATTTGTGCCTTTTCCCTGACTAGACTCTCAATGAAAAAACACAATGACGAGGTTTTCACCAGTTTTAGCACACAAATTTATTAACAATATATAAACCAAGGCAAAAATGAATACACTCATGACAATATAAAACGCACATATATAGTTTACTCAAGGCAAATGGGCTCATTATCAGATTATGTTGTAAAACTACTAAACTATCTTAATATATATCTGCCGACAAAATTATATAGCAAAATAAAATCAACAGATGTTGACACTCTTGAGATCATTTGGTATGTATAATAAAATTGACTCTGTCCATCAACACAATAACATGAGTATTGAATTTATAATCTAATGCATATTGGTTTCATATTTCAAAACCAAAAGTTCTTCAGAGGTTTGTGATATCATATGGCTCTTCAGAGTTTGAGTATTAATTGTGCAATTTTATCTCTCACTTCAGGATCATTGTGCTCTGCTAAGTCTTGGAGTTTCTGAGAAAACTCTTTTGCTTCCTGAAATATGGAAATAAGTTCATCCTTAGTGAACTGATCCTTGGTAAAGAGCTTTACTCCCTGTTTGAACTGGTAATTTATATTCTCAAATGTCTCAACGATAGCAAGAATACTGAACTTTGACTCATTCTTATTGAAAAGTGCAACCAAAGAGGACAGTACTTCAGCACTGATCAATTCTCTGAGATTGGCTTGATTTTTAGATAAATAAGAAAACACTTTCAAAATAAAAAATTTTGTCCTAGCATTTCCATTGTTCAACAATTAAAGGATATCGGGAATGTATTTGATGATCGTATAGTGATCTGAAAATTTCAAACTCAGGCTCACTTACACTTTTAGTCCAGAAAGCTGTACAATGGAGTTCAAAGGATAAGAGATTATATCCTTACAAATTTGATTTACATATGAAGCTCTCATTTGTGATACTTCAGAAGACTCAGAGCTGTCATCTGACATATTTAGAATTCTAGGGTGTTCTTTAACATTAGGATTAGTGATCAAGTTTTCAACCATAACATTAATACCTATATCATGAATTATGTCTTGCGTAAATGGTTAAGCAGGACTGACACCCATTACCATTGTAGCAATCTCATGAATGAAAGGATCCTTAGTAAACTTAAGTAAAGCAATGAGTCTATCAAACTCTTTAGGCTCCAAATTAAAGCTATATGTTTTGCAGTGGCAGTTCTTTGGATTGGGCCCATACGTTTCCCCATACCTAATATGATGTTTTATTTCAGCTAAGGTTTGGAAGTAAGGCCCACTATAGGGTGAGATCTTGGTCAGAAGCTTTATCCCAAGAGGAGTTTCAATCAAGGTTTCAATTAGGATCCAATTCCTTTCTGGAGGCAAGAATAGCTCTCTGACATTGATTGGGACTAAGACACTATATCTGGCCCTTAACCATGTTGTTGCTGCCTTTTGTCTTATAGTAAGTTCACTTCGGGGTGTGAGCTCAGGCTTGTCGTTGATCGTTGGTGGGGGATTATAAACTTGAGGAGGGGCCTCTTCTTCAGACCAGAACCTGGACCCTATACTAGATTCTTTTTCAGTCCATAACCAGGAACAGACATTTTCTTCATCCTTATCATTGGACTTGACTCTAAGGTTAGCTTTGTTATCAGCCCTGAATTTAATACTTGCCTCTTCCCTTATCTGGGGTCTGGATTCAATACTGGCCATGTCAGCAGCTTTCACACATGAACTAATATTGACCTCATTTCCAGCATCAGTCTTGATTTTAGATTGAGTAATGGCACCGATACTGGAGCTAGGCATAGCCTTTGGCTTTATTTGGGGCACTACTCTGGGTTGTGTCACTGTTTTTGTATGAGTCTCAGCTATGACTTTGGCCTTACTCATACCTTTCATTTTGCTCACTTCCTTTGTCACAGCCACAGTCTCAGTTTGTGCGATTCTCTGTGTCTTAGACACTGCTCCATCCCCAGCCTTGGCCTGAGTCACTGATTCTGTTTTGAGTTTTGCCACAGCCACTGTCTTGGCCTGGGTCTTAGCCTGGGCTCTGGCTTGGGAATGACCCTGGAGTCCATCCCGTCTTCTAGTTCTTGCCCTGGCCCTGGAGCCAGCCATGGTTGAAATAAAAGACAGGGCCAAGTTGTGTAATCTCACCCCAGTCTCAACCTTGACTGGAGATCAATCCCAGGTTGGTGTTTTCATACAAAGTTTAGTGGTCCTTCAACTCCTTTCCAAACTATTGGCTCTGCCAATGATATAGACAATGTGCAGAGGAACTCATCAGCGTAGGGAATGATGGCTGTGTCCCTGCGTGCAGCCCTGTGGAGGATGGTCCTCTTCAGCCACTTCAAAGTCACCAGATCAGCCACTGAAGGTAGATCTAGAGGTAGAGGAAGGAAGTAGGGTTTTTTTCTTGTTTTTTTTTTTTCTTTTAGTATATTCTAGTTTTGCCTGTCTGTGTAGATTAGCACCGAGAGATGACAGAAGGTGGAGATTCAGTTCTAGGTGGAAGAGGTAGATAAATAGGACACTCTCCCTTACCTCTCATGTCACTGACTCTATGCATCTAGGCGATACCAAAATCCTTTCTAAGCACCAAGCAGAAATAGGGAGGATGGGAATGAGGGAGTTTGAGGAATTTCTAGGCTGGATCTTAACCCTTGTTCGACCCAATCAAGGAGCTATGGAGGTGCTGTTGGGTAAGCAGTTGGACTGGCCACTCCATGGGAAAAAGATGAGGCTTTCTGATCCTATAAAGATTTAAAGCCCTGCAAACCTTGTATATTGGTAGCTGTGAGTTGGAATTGACTCAATAGAATTGGGTTTGGTTTTAGTTGGGACCCAATCAGATCGCTACTACTCCATCCTATAGGTCACATTCATACCTACCTGTACTGATCTGGAGCAAGTTTGTTCTCTTTTCCTTGTTGCTAGTAGCGACAAGTACTGCAGTAGACCTATAGGCAGACCTAGGGACAAACAAGAGAAAATGATAGATAAAATTTGTCTTTCCACAATGGGTGCACAAGAAAATGTGGTGAAGAAAGCCCAGCTACCAAAAGATATAGCACCTGGAGTCTTAAAGACCTGAAGACAAACAGGCAGCCATCTAGCTAAGAAACAACAAAACCCACAAGGAAGAAACACACCAGCCTACCCCAACACGAATGTTGAAGACAAAGTGGGTACATAAGCAAATGCAGTTAAGAAAGCTGATGGTGCCCAGCTGACAAAATATATAGAATCTGGGGTCTCACAGGCTGGAAGATAAACAAGGGGCCATCTAACTGAGAAACAACAAAGCCCACATGGAAGCACACCAGCCTGTAAGATAAGGCGTCAACGGGATCAGGTATCAGGCATCAAAGACCCTCCCCCCCAAATCATAACATTGTGAATGAGGGGGAATGAAGAGTGGGGACCCAGGGCCCATCCAGGGGAAATTGGACATCCCCTTGCAGAAGGGCTGCGGGGAGGAGATGAGCCAATCAGAGTGCAGGGTAGCAACAATCAAATATACAATTTTCCTCTAGTTCTTAAATGCTTCCCCCCCCCCACTACCTTATCCCAATTCTGCCTTACATATCCAGCTGGACCGGGGGATGTGCACTGGCACAGATAGGAACTGGAAACACAGTGAACCCAGGACAGATGAA